CGCCGCCCCCCCCCCCCCACCCCAGCAGGGGCCAGTCGGGCTTTTTCCTATCCTACCCTCCTTGGAACTCATCTCCTCCCGGCTTCCATGGGGCAAGCTGCTCCCCGGTCACTCCTCGCCCGCGCCGGCAAACAGGTGGGAAAAACAAGGCTGACAGCCATCGTGCGCTGCATGCAGACCGCCTCCCCCGCCTCCCCCCGCCGGCGCGCCAGTGAGAGCACACCCGCCACCAGAGGAGCAGAATCCTATAGCATCCCACCTGGCTGGGGTGGGGAGGGGGTACTGCCCCCCTTCCGCCGCCCGGCTATTTTCTCCGGGTGCGCAGGCCGCTTACCTGCCGGCGGGCCGGAACCGGAGCGACGCGGCGACGAGTGCGGGAGCCGGCGCCACCGCTCTGCCTCCTCTGAGCCTCGCCGCTCCTGTCTCCCGCAGCGTCGGCGGGGAAAGGCGCGTGCCCGCCTCGCTCTCCGCTAGGAGCGGCTCCGCGGAGCCTCTGCGCTGTAAGCGGACGGGCTGGCGGAGAGCACGCCTGCCTGCAAGAGCAGCAGCCCCCGGTCGGTCAGTCGGTCGGTCGGTCGGTCCTTCCTTTCTCCTCCTCCGCCTTGGCCGCCGCACGTGTTGCTCGGTCGCCTCGCGAGGGGCTTGGCGGCCACCAGCGCTCTCTTCCTCCCGCCGGCCGGCACTGCAACGTCCTCCCCGCTCGCGTCCCGCTCCTCTTATAACCCCTCTTTGCCCCCCTCCCCCGCTGCCCGCGAAAAGGCCGACGCTGCAATCCGGATTAAGAGAATAACGCCCGTGGGCCTGCACCCATATGCGCAGGCGACGCCCGGGGCGGGGGACAGGTGCGCTCCCGCCCTCCGCCGGTGGCGCCTGGTGGCGAGATCCACCTGCCCCCCCATCCGCCACCGGGTCCTTTGGTTTGGACGGGGTGATAGGGCAGCGGGGTGGGATGGGGGGAGACCCGTTGTGTGTGTGGGGGGGTCGAGTTCCGGATCAGCGCAAGACGTGCGCCCTGGCGGTTGTGACCGGCTTTGGAAAGCAGGTGCGTCGCGAGTGGGGGCTCGGTGTGCCTTTGAGAGGAGAGTCGGACCCATCCCGTCTCGTCTCCCGCCCCCACGCCCCCCCCCGACGCCCAGCAGCGGAGCAGGGCCTGGAGGAAGAGCCCGTGGGGAAGCCCCACCCTGCGACAGACGGGCGGAGGAATCGTTTCGGGGAGGGAAAAGGTCCGAGGGGGAAACATCCTTGTCACTGAGTTTTTGTTGAAGTGGGGAGACCCTCCGGGTCGACGGGCTGCTGAACCCGCTGTATCCGGTGGGGCAAAGGGTCAGGAGCCTGCTCCCTCGCTACAGGCCTGCCCTCTCCCCCCCAGCGGCACCCCACGGAGCCCCGTGGAGCAGGGTGGCCCAAGAGCAGGGGAAACCAACACTACTGCCCACGGGGGGGGAGGGGGCAGCTGTGACAGAGGTGAGCCCCCAACCCCTTAGCAGCCCTGGCTGGGCATGGTGGGAAATGTAAGCCAGAGAGCCAGGATGGCCTGCTGGGTGCTGCAAGGTCGACGACCTGTAGCCCCTCCAGGTAGCCACCTTTCGCAACCTATACTGTGGCTGCCTATCTATGGATGGTTTGTAACGCCCACTGCCGCCGGCCACCCACCTTTCCTTTCATGACCTGGGGTTGGCATCCGCGGCCTGTATCTTGCCTTGGTTCCTCAAACCCGAGCCCCATCTTTTGGAAGGGGCGATTCCCACCACCTGACGGGTCCTCCCATCGGGGAAGAAGGGGCTCCTGGCCCCATGGCAGGGTTTGCCAGCTGTGCTTTCACACCCTCCTCCTCTTCTTCCTCCTCCTCGTGGGTGTCCAGCCTCTGTTTGTTTCCTGCCCCCTCCTGTGCTCTTCTCCTCCTGGGCTCAAGAGATCAGAAGCAAACATGTCATCTCTTGGCTCAGCTGTCAGGGGCCAACGGTCGGTGGCTGGCAGGCCACCTTCTGCCCAGGCAGGCCTTCCTTCCCTTTCGCTCATAAGGGGGAGGGAGCCCTCTTTCAGCAAGGGCCTATTGGAGGGGTGTGTGTGCAGGACCAAGGCCCAGAGGAGGCAGAGGGAACTTCCGTGTTTTCCCTCTCTCCCTCCCTCCCCACCCCAGAAGAAGTCAAAGAACAGGGCCAGAAGGAGGTGCTGTGCTTCCATCTTCACTCTGCCTGCAAGAAGGGGGGGGGAGATAGAGAGAGAAGCCTTTGCTTGTCTCTCTGCTCCCCCACCCCCACAGTTCTCCAGGTCTATCTGCAGCACAGGAGGACCTCTGAAGCAGGGGCTGAATGCCCTGTGGTGGGGAGGCCTCTGGAACCTCCTGGGATGAGGGTCCCCCTCTATAATGCCCCCCCCCCGGTAGCACCACCATGTCAAGGCAGTGAGGCCTTCTAAGAACTTCCACCGGCACCAGCTGGGGCTTTGAATCTCTTAACCGGGGGGTGGTGGTGGTGGTGGTGGTGGTCAGTGGGTGATTCAGCACACACGGACGAGCTGTGGATCTTCAGTGGCCCCTCCACCCCCAAAGTGGTGGGAGAGGGGCTGGCTTGGTCAGTTCCAGTTTCTTCCTCTTTCCCCCCCCCCACCCGATACTGGAGTTTACTTTCGAGGCCTCCCCTCCCCAGTCCTGATCCAATTGCATTGGCTCTCAGTTTGTTTCCAAGCTCAGTTCAAAATGCTGCTCTTGACCCACAAACCCCTAAATGGCTTTGTTGTAAAAGGGCCAGGGTTTTAAATAGATTTCTTTCTAGGTTGTCTCAGGGCCCTGAAGGGCATAAAAATGATTCAAGTGCCCTGATTAAATGTGAGGGTGGCAAACCGACCCCCCCCCTTTTTCCAGCCTTCTCCTGACCTGATGCCCTGCAGCGGTGCTGGACACCTGGAATGGAAGCCAAGACTGGTGGAGTGCACCAGGTGTGGTGGGAAAGCGGGGATCAGAACAGACCTTCCTTGACCCAGCGGCCGCCCCATAAATTCCCCTTGCACAGAGAGAGGCCCTTGGCCAAAAGCAAGCCAGGGAGCTTCCTCTCAGTCCCATCCCTTCAAAAGGGGGGAGGGAGGTGGTGCCCATCCTGCTCTTGTGCCAGGCCTGGGCAGGAGCCCCTGCCCAGCACTGCCCCTGCACCCACTGGGGCAGCCTCATCACCAGCCCTTCCCTATTCGCATGCCAAGCATTACCAGCAGAAAACCTGTTTCTGCCAGGGTTGTCTGGCTCTCCTCCTTTCTGGTGTGTGCTGCTGGTGGTGGGAGGGTGCAACCAGGCTTGTCAATCATAGTTGCTAAAGGGCTTTATTAATCATGGTGGCTTGCCTGGCTAGGCAATCTCCGGGGCCCCTGGGAGGGGTGCAGTGAGGGATGGGGGCCATTCATTTCTCATGTGCTGCTGGTAGAATGAACAGAGAGTGATACCTCCTCAATAAAGCAGGGCTGCGCTTCAGGCTAATTGGCTTTCTTGCAGGAACATCTTTGCCTACAAGCCAGCGCGCAGCCTGCATGTGCAGTGGGGAGAGGCACCAAGTGGCAGAGCCCAGAATGACATGCCAAGGCAGGCACCTCTCCCCACCCCCTTGTGCTGGGCATGGTTGCCCCTGGAAAGCATCCAGCATCTAAGAGCCGTGGAGCTGAGTGGCTGGGCAAAGAGGGTGGCAGACCATGAACTGCCCCCTTGGTAAGACTTCATCCCCCCCCCGCCCGGCCATCCTGTGATCTCAGGATGTCAGGACTGACCCACCTTAGAGGACTGTGTTACGTACACCGTCACAGTAAAAGGAATTGTGCTTTAACCTCTACTCTTCTGCTCACCTGCCCTGAAGGATGGCAACCTGTGGCACAGAAACCGCAAAAGGACACACTCAAAGGTTCTTTTACGGTCCAAGGGGAAAGTTTTGTGACTCACACGGAAAGTGCAGGGCAGCCACATTGGCTGTAAAACAGAATCCTCAAATCAGTGCCCGGACAGACTCTTTTTTAAAGGCAGGGCAGTCGCTTGCAGAGAATGTGATGCCCCTGGAAAGATGCGGCCACTGCGGGGAGGATCGGGCTTCCTCTTGATCTCCGCACTCGGCGTTTTGCAACAAGACACAGACCACCTCCTTGGGAGCAAGAAGGCTCTCCCCTCTGATCCTGAAGTCCTTTGGGGTGGGCGTCGTCCCACCATGAGTAGACTGGACTCTGCCTGATTTGGGGCAGGACGGGAGGATTCCTTAAGACCTGGGCAGCATCTTCCCCACCCACTCCACCCCCCCTTGCAGGAGCTTCCTCCCTTTGTTGATGCAATCAACGTTTGTGTTGTGGAGGGGGGGCTGCACTGACTGGCCTGGGGGAGAGGGGGCTGTGCTTGGCCACTGGTTTTGAGCAGCTGCTCTCCTGTAGAAATAACCACACGGGAGGCTAGGCAGCATTAGCACCATTTAATGCAAGGGCATGTGATTGTACTCTCACTCCCCCCTCCCCACCTCTTCCCTCCCCCACCACACCAAGGCTCAGGTGGCCTGGAGTGGGGGGGACCAAACAGAAACAAACACCCGCAAAAAATGCAACCGAAAAGTTCCCAGGGTGGAAACGCTGGAGAGCAGCTGAGAGAGAAGGAAGCACAACGCAATATCCAGCCGCTTCTGCCTTGAAGAGCAGAGGAGCAGAGAGTGTTGGCACTTACGGAGAGGCTGTCCTGATGCCCGAGAGGGAGGCTCAGCCAAGCCTGGAAGGGTAAAATGGGGCAGGTGGGCAGCAAGGGGGGGGAGGGGAGGGCTGCAAAGCAACAGAAGATTGAGAAGTCAGAGAGAGATGGTCCTCAGAACGTTCTCCTTTGACGAGGCGCCTCTGGTGCAAGTAGTTTGGTCTGAGGGAGGGAGGGAGGGAGGGAAGGAAGAGGAGGAAGGGGCTGCGAACCTCAGCGTGGCCAGGTCCGTCCTGGCAAAACCGACCTGTCAGGCTGGGAGGAAAGTCCTGCAGTAAGTAAGGGAATCCCATGGGGTGGAGGCTGTGGCCCTGGGGGGACTTGGGGGATGGGGTGAAGAAAGGGGCAGGGGCTGGACCAGGAACACCTCTGCCCAGGGAATACTGCGGGGGGGGGGAATAGGAAGGGGAGGCCCAGTGGGCTAGGGTGGGGGCTCAGGGCTCAGGGCTTCTCCCTGCTTCACATCCCCGACCTCTTCTCACCCTCCCCGTTCGCCACCCTCCTGGCCCTTAAGCTCCGTCAGGGGACCCTTGGTTTTCAGGCAGGAGGGGGAGATGCCCCTCCCTGCTCCACCCAGCAGCCCCCTCCCTGCTCTCTCTTTCCAGGCAGAAAGAGTCTGCTCAAGGGTGGGGGCTCAGGGCTCAGGGCTTCTCCCTGCTTCACATCCCCGACCTCTTCTCACCCTCCCCGTTCGCCACCCTCCTGGCCCTTAAGCTCCGTCAGGGGACCCTTGGTTTTCAGGCAGGAGGGGGAGATGCCCCTCCCTGCTCCACCCAGCAGCCCCCTCCCTGCTCTCTCTTTCCAGGCAGAAAGAGTCTGCTCAGACCGTGGTGAGGGGGTTAAACAGGGAGCCTAGGCTTCCAGCATTGTTTCAAACACAATGGAGAGGAAGAGGATGTTGGGGCCGGGAGATCTGTGGCAGGATCCCAGCGCATTCCTTGGGCCACAGAAATGTATGTGTTCGGGAAGACAGAATGGAAAGCGGAGCCATTGAGTCCTCCAGCCCCACAGGAAAAACCCACAGGATCCCTCAAGAGCAGCCCTTCCTTGCTGGGAAAAACAGCCTTCCAGACACAGGAATCAGGAAGAGGAAGACCTGGAATGCACCCCCTCCTCTTCCCCCCCCTTTTGCAAGGAGAGGACATGGGGGCTGGCTTGGAGGGGGGGAACAGCCAGGGAGGGGGACTCCTGGACTGCACTGAGGCCTGGGGTAATGGGGCCTTTCCTTCAAGCCCTACAGCTGTCTTAAGGCACTATTTTGCATGACAACAGCTCGGCCAGCAGCCAAGGGGGGGGGGCTGCAGCGGAGACCTCTCCCTGCACCCAGAAGATGCTGCCCTTTATCAAGGTGTCTCTCATACCAAAGGCATTGCAGTAGCTCTGCTTCAAAGAGCAAGGAGACATTCTTTGGGAGTCAAAGGCACACCAGGCTGGACTTGTTTTTTTTGGGGGGGGGTTGAGTCCTGGTGCTGGGGCCCAGCCCTAGATGCACAGCTGCTCCTACAGGGCCTTCTCAGAGCCATGATTTGGAAGGGGTTTCCCTCAGAGGGCGGAGCGGCTCTAAGGCTGCCAACAGGCACCAGGTGAGGGTTGGTGCAGAAATCGCTTGGAGGTGGGGCGTTGGTCTCCCTGCCGAGGGGACATGTCCCCCCAAAGGAGACCAAGCCGTGGGCAGCGGCCAGGCAAGGCGAGTCGGCCCAGAGGGTCCTTCAGCGGGTCTTCCATCTGGATGCCTGTCAGGGGCTCTCAGGGCAAACCAGAGCAATGATTCTTTCCTGTTTTGGACCAAGAATCTGGCCAGGGGTTCTCCGGGAAAGGAGGGGAAGGGCTATCTCGGGGCACAAAGCAGCCGTCCCCCTTTGCTGCACCTGCTGCTTCTCTTGTGAAGACGAGAGGACGCTTGTCAAGGGGGTCTGCAAAGCGCGAGGCCTCCTCCAAGGCTGCCACGGGCACAGGGAGCTCAGGATCACCTTGGCAGAACCGGCTGTGTGGCCCCCACAGGCCGCCCGCCCTCCCGCCAGCCAGGCCCAGCATCTCCGTGACCCAACCCACCATCCCTGACTTAAGCTGGAAACATGGTTATTTGCATCCAGGGAGGAAAATAAATAAAGCTGGGGAAGGGGACGAGGAGGCTCCTGGGGACTCAGGCACACCAGGGGTGGAATGGGGCCAACCTGGGCAATCAGCCGCCACCACCGCAGGGGGGGGGGAGTCCTGCCACTGCTTAGGGGGCTGGCATGCGTTTCCTTTCGTCATCGTTCAGCTGGCTTCCCAAGAGAGGGGAAGGCGAGGGATGGTCTCTGAGCAAGCCCCCATTTTCCTGCCTGTGCAGGAACTTCT